ACCCACTCCACCCAGACTTTTCTCAATGTCATATTCTGGATCCCAGGTCAATTTTGTTCATTAATTTGAATTTTTTATTGTTTAATTTCATTTAATTTTTGCTTGGTAAGACATTTGGTGGCACTTTGGAAATAATTTCTTTGTATTTCATGAAGCTTAAACATGAGGACCTCTGGCCCAGGCTCTTACAAGTTACTTTGAATGTCTCACAAATTCGTGTGTGTGTGTGTGTGTGTGTGTGTGTGTGTGTGTGTATGTGTGTAATTTGTCCAGTTTAGCACTAAGTAAGACTTTTCAATTTGATGACCCAGGTTGGTTTTTAGTACTGAGAATTTTCAGCTACAATTTTGTTACCTATACCTCCTCTCTATATTCCGATAGGGATCTGACAGTTAATTCATCAATTGCTTCTTATAATTCTGTATTTTTTCTTTAAGTATTTTGAAAATAGATAGAGGCATTAAATATTTCACTTCCTTTTGAATTGTTTCTTTTATTATATATATATGTATTCATCTATTTTTCTTATTCATGGTTTTCTCATTAAAATATATTTTATGAAGCCGGGCTCGGTGGTTCAGCCTGTAATCCCATGCCTTTGGGAGGCTGAGGTGAATGGATTGCCTGAGCCCACGGGTTCGAGACCTGCCTGGGCAGGTGAGACCTCATCTCTACAATAAAATCAAAAAAATTAGCCGGGCGTGGTAGCGTGCGTCTGTAATTCCAGCTACTTGGAAGGCTGAGGCGGAAGGATCGCCGGAGCCCAGCAGGTAGAGGCTGCGGTGGCTGGGAGCGGCCACTGAACTCCAGTCTGGGTGACAGTGAGACTCCAACTCAAAACAAAACAAAACAAAACAAAAAAACAAAAAACAAACAAACAAAAAATATTTTATGGAATTGGTGTTGCTGCACCAATGTTTATTTTCAAATTTTCCAGTGGTACCTTCTTATGCTTATCTTGCAGGCAGCATTGAATCTCATTTTTAAAATATAATCTGATGATTTTAATAGGCATTCTTTAGATATGTGTATTATTATAAGCCTAACAGTGACAAGTCTGATAGTGATACTTTTAAGACATATTTAAATAATTATAAACATTTCTAATAAACCATGGAGTTGTTTAGTGTTTCTATTATCATCCTGAGCATTACATATAGTTTTGCAAAAATTAATTATTATTGAACGTTGAAAACCTGTCCTATTTTTAAAATAGTGACCTGGTGCTTTAGTTTCACTTCTGTTTTTATCTTAGAGATGTGGGGTACAATTCAGGGTTAGGTACATAAGTGGTCATAGTACAGGAAAAGCGTGGATACCCTTGTTGATGTAATGTGTCCCCCTTCTCCCCTGGCAGTGTCCCACCACTGTCAATCCCTTTCTTACAGTATTATAATAATGTTCAGGGTCTGCTAATGAGTGAGTACATGCGATACTCAGATCTTTGTTTCTGTGATAAATCATTGAGTATTATAGACTCTAATTCCATCTAAGTTGCTGTGAAGTTCATAAATTTGTTTTTCTTTATTGCCGCATAATAGCTCATCATGTAAATGTCCCATATTTTCTTTATCCAGTCCACTTTCAATGGGTGCACAGTTGGTCCCATGTTTTTGCTACTGTGAATAATACTGCAATAAACATGTGTGCAGGTATCTTTTTCTTTTCTCCTTTTTTTTTTTTTTTTTTTTTTTTTTTTGTGGTTGGAGTCTTACTCCATCACCCAACCCGGAGAGCAGTGGCACGCTCACAGCCACCCCAGCGTTGACCCACTGGGCTCCAGTTATCCTTCTGCCTCAGCCTTCCAAGTAACTGGTACTACAGGTGTGCCCTATTGCACCCGGCTAATTATTATTATTATTTTTGATTTATTGTAGAGACGAGGTCTCACCAAGTTGCCTGGGCTGTCCTCAAACCCGCAGGCTCAAACAATCCACTCACCTCGTCTCCCCAAAGTGCTGAGATTACAGGCTGCACCCGAGCCCAGCCAGGTATCTTTTCCATAGAGTGATTTGAGTTCTTCTGGGTATATTCCAAGGAAAGAGATTGCTGAATTGTATGGAAGGTCAATTACTAGATATTTTAGAAATCATTTCACTGTTTTTCAGAGAGGTTGTACTAGTTTACATTCCCACCAACAGTGGAGAAGTGTTTCCTTTTCCCCACATCCTTTCCAGCATCTGCTGTTTTTTGAGTTATTGATGATGGCTATCCTGATTGGAGTTAGGTGGTATCTCAGAGTGGTTTTAATTTGTACTTCTTTGATGATTAGTGAAACTGAGCGTTTTTTTGTGTGTCTGTTGGTTGCTCATATGTCTTCTTCTAAACCTAAATGTAAAACCTCAAACTATAAGAATCCTAGAAGAAAACACAGGAAACACCCTTACAGATATTGGAATAGGCAGCCAACTCACGATCAACTCTCCAAAAGCAAATGCCATAAAAGATAAGATATACAAGTGGGACCTCATCACACTGAAAAGCTTGTGCAAAGCAAAAGAAACCATCAAGAAAGTGGGGAGACAGCACAGAATGGGAAAAAATATTTGCCAACTGTATAGCTGACAAAGGTCTAACATCTAGGATCTACAAGGAACTCAAATGTGCTGAAAGAAAAAAAAACTTTTAAAAATGCACAAAATATATGAATAGTCACTTCTTAGTTTCACTTTTAAATAACAGTTTTTCTCAATCAATACTTATGTATATTTTCTGGTATTTCTCATTCATTTTTGTTCATATGTCTTTTGTTTACCTATGGGCTCGCTTTTCATACATATCTGAAGTGATTATTTAATAGTTATTTTAATAAAGGCTTAGTGTTAAATTTCCCTAACCTACTCCAATATATTTGGCAATGATGGAATTCTAACTTGACATTTATTTTTACTTAGCTTTGAAGTAAATCATTTTTTTTCTGGCATTTATTTCATCGCCTTGTCTTTTCTCTGTTTGCCTTTCTCCCCATTTTCTCTATATCTTTAACATTCTACCATTTAAATGAATATCTTAATACTTTATTTCTACCTATTAGTCTAAAACTCTTTTTGACCCTGCTCATTTTGGAGTTCCTTTGGTCTATTTCAAAACTAATTTTATTATTCCTTGTCATTTTACAATTTGTTGTCTTCCACATCTACACGTTTTCATTTTATTTCTGCTGCATGTCAAAATTTATTTTTCTTTTATAATGGAAATTACCACCTTACTTAGATCATTGAGCATTTTATATATACCTTTTTTTCAAAGTGTTGACAAAAAGCATTTAGAGTGCTTTGGATTTATATTATGATTGTTGAGTCTTTGGAAACAAGATATGGCTGATATCTTATGTCTTTCCAATTGAAGGCATGTCACTGCTGCTATCTGACTTTGCTTGATTTCCATTTACCCTGTTTAAAATCTACCATTTAATGTGATTTTTTTCTGATTCTCAGCAATTATCCTAAGGTGGCATTGGGAGTAAAATTACTGTAGTTACTGATATAATAGGCAGCATAGTTGTGTTTTGGTCTCAGGATCTTTTCTTCCCAAAGCCCTAGCTCCCAGTTCTTTAAAGATCTATAGTGCTGGCCAGTGAGTTGGTCCTGCTACAAGCAAGCACAGTTTATACGAGTCAGTGAACGTAGCACTGGTTCCTCACCTGGTGGAATACCTCCAGTCAGTTTCCTGCTGTTTCTCTTTGATTTCAACTCCATTTCTATTCCACAGATTTGGTTATCTCAAATGTGACCCTAGCTATGCCTCATGCATGTCTTGAATCATCAACATAACCTGGGAGCATATTCTCAGATCCATTCTACATTTGCTGAATCACATCCTGAGAATGAAACCTAGGAATCTGTGACTTAAAAAGCTCTCCATGGCCGGGCTCGGTGGCTCAGCCTGTAATCCCATGCTTTGGGTGGCCGAGGTGAATAAATTGCCTGAACCTGCGGGTTCGAGACCCATCTGGGCAACTTGGCGAGACCTCATCTCTACAATAAATAAAAAAAAATTAGCCGGGCATGGTAGCACGTGCCTGTAGTTCCAGCTACTTGGAAGGCTGAGGCAGAAAGATCGACGGAGACCAGCAGGTCGAGGCTGCGGTGGCAGGAAGCGGCCACTGCACTCCAGTCTGGGCAACTGAATGAGACTCCAACTCAAAAAAAAAAAAAAAAAAGCTCTCCATATGATTCTTATGCATACACAAGCTTTAGTAATACTGTTCTAGTCAATATTGGTAGTTTGCTTCCTGGTTGCATGTTAGAATCACCTGGTGTGCTTAAAATTAGTGATACTGGAGTTTTACCTTACATCAGAATTTTTGTAATCACATGGTCTTATTAAATGCTTTGCAGGTGATTATAATGTGTAACTAGGGTTGAGAATCATTGCTCTAGTCAAGGGCTTCTCAACAGGGATAATTTTGTACCCTTAGGAGAACATATTTTGCAGTGGCTGAAGACATTTTTGGTTGTTACAACTGAAACAATCCTGCCGGCATCTAGTGGGAGATGCTGCTAAGCATCTTATAATGCATAGGACATCCCCCTACAACAAAGAATTGACTGGTTCCAAATGTCGAGAGTATTGAAGTTAAGAAACCTTGCTTAGTACATGCTTTGGTTTTTGTTTAGGCACTTCCATTTAAAGAATTCTCTAATAAAAACACCTTGATGGTAGTCACAAAAGGGAGATGGAAAATAGTATAGAACAGATTTTGAGTGTCCTAAAAGCTGAGCATCTGGACTCCCTAGTCTTTATTACTACTGATGCTCATATCCTTGAGATTGAGAACAGTCTGACAGTTAGGGGTGACCAACAGCAGAAGCAGAAAAATAATTGTAGTTTGGGAACATGTATTCTGTATTCACGTTTTAGTTAACTGTCTGGCTATTTTGTGGTTTTGACAACATCAAATATAGTCTTGTTTAATTTTTACTATCATTAAATGTATTTACCTCAATATATACTCTTTTAGAATGATCAAATTAACCTTTTTGTTTTATTTTTTACAGTATCAGGAAAAAAGGAGAGTTTGAGTCAGAAATCAAAACTTTGTTAAAAATGAAGTTAAAGTACAATGAGTATATCAAAGACCTCTATAAGGAAGCTAATCACATTGGTACTATTTTCTACCTAAACAAACACAAAACAGAAGAAATGGAAGATAAAATAGCAGAAGCGAGAAGAAAATTCAAGGTTGTGTATCTTTGTGTTCTTTTTATTTATGAAGAAAAAAGTAATACGCCTGTATTTTATTGATTTGAACTTGATAGTTAGATTTTAAGGATTAAATTTTTTTTAAAAAATTCTTCTAATAATGAGAAGATAAGCCACCTCTCTTCAAAGGCCCAGCTTGAATAGAAGAGGATGGTCTCAGTGTAGCTAATCAATACTTGTTTCCACTTTTTGCTGTTATCAACCGATAAACTGCCTGGAGCACCAAAAGTGTGGTTCTTGCTATAGCTTTATGCTATATATCCAACTTATAATTATTCCTGCCAAATTCTGAAAGGTGCTTTTGTATTCTATGTAATACAACAACAGAGAGTACCTATAGCAGGCCTGCAAGTTGTAGACCACATGGCTGTTGAAATAACAGCTCACACATCTCAAATCCAC